GGGGGTGGGGGGCCGCCGCCTGCCGCGCCGAACCCCCGACCCGCCGTGGAGTGGCGAGGAGGCTGCGTCCCGGGATGGCGCGCCAGGTAAGGCGACCCGGGGCGGGAACGCTCACGGGCTGACGGACGCCTCGAGGATGTGCTCCGCGCAGTGCGGCCCCCGGAACCGGGGTGGGGAGGTCGGGAAGGAACTGGGACTCGCCAACTTTGGGATCGGCCGGACTCTGTCGGGCCTCCCGGTGCCAGGACTAAGTGCCGAGGAGTCCGGGTCCTGAAAGTCCCTTCCCCTACTCTCTTCCCGCAGGACGCACGGTCTAGGTCTCTTCACCTGGCAATCGCCTTCCTTTGGGTTAAGCATCACCCTGCTTCTGCGTGGCTTCCCGCATTACAGGTTACCCTGAGAGTGGGAGACAGGAGGGCCTGGAGGAATCAGTAAATGGGATACTTTCATTCTTGGTAGGATCCTGGACCCCAGGTGGGGGGCTGTCCTGGAAGTGGGGAGAAACAGATAAAACAGGTCCCAAGTTTTATCTTGAGCGGCCTGCAGGTAAGGGGTGCAGATTGGAAAGCCGGAGGGAGAGCCCCACCTGCTGTCTCAGCCTGGGCACTGTTGGGGCTGAGGTTTGTGGGCTGTGAAATTCCAGGAGAACGAGGTGAGGCCAAGGAGCGCTCTGGGTGGGCGCCTGGAGCATGCTCTGCAGTTGTGGCCCATCAGCTTTGTCCAGCCTCAGGCCCAGTGGCTGGGAAGCCTGTTTGGGCAAAGTCCCCCACAGCATCCTGGGAGGAGAGGCCAGGCCAGGGGCAGTGTGTGTGCTCTGGCTGAGCAGTTGAGCAGCCCAGGGACATCCCAGCTCAGGTATACTGAGGGGTCACATCAGTTTCCTGTTCTGTAAAAGGAGCTTCCAGGTGTGATGTTCAGGGATAGGTGTGTCCTCACTCAGTGTAGCTTCATGGGAGGTGTCCTGGAGTGGCTCGAGAGGGTGGGAGCAGGAGGGCAACCATCCTCATGCCCAGCGCGACACCCAAGCGCCCAGGCGTCCTCACAGGTGAGAGCCATAGGGACCAGCCGTGCAGGGCAGACCCGGGAGCTCCAGTCGTGCAAGAGAACGGATGTAGGCCGGGAAGGACCTTGAGATCTGGATGACCCCGTGGCGCTGAAGCTATGGTGCTCCTACTGGGCTCATGATGGGGTAGAGGGGTCTTTTCGGCCGGCCAGGGTGGTACCAGTGAACTTGCGGCTGCCCAGAGAACTCTCCAAAGGGAGGTGAAATCAGGTGGGTGCAGGAGGCCTGTGGTCGAGAGAAGCCAGTGGGGGCTTTACTCCTCCTTCGTGGCCGAGTTGCACATTTGCACACTCACACTTGCTCCCTCACAGACACTCCTTGCTCTCCCTTCACTTTTCTGGGCAGGGAGAAGCCAATCACCAAAGCTCCGGCCCTGACCACAGTCAATTCCATTTGCACCTTCCGAGAACTTGGCCACGGGAGAGTCTGACTTGATGCTGAGAGGGCGAGAGGCCTGGAGAGTATCACTCACAGCCCTCTGAGGGGGCTGGATATATTTAGCCTGGAGATAAAGAGGCCCAGAGGGCAGGAGTCTGTGAGTGCAAGAGCTTGAGGAGGGAGAAGGGAGAAGAAGTTGTGTCAGGCAGGAGCTGAGAGGACCAGGGGGTGGAGCAGGGCAGGTGGGGCTGTGGAGGCCGGGGACATGGCAGGTGCTGTGACTGCAGTGGGTGAAGAGAGGTGGCAAAGCCAGCCAAGCTGGGCACCAGCCTTCCTGCCCGAGGGGCCGGGTGGGGCGTGCATCCTACCCAGGGCCCCCAGGCCATCCCAGGTTTGAGGATTCACTAGGACTCTTGCAGGACTGGCGTGCCGTACAGTTCACACAGCAAAGTTCTGTTAGTGAGACGACACGAGCAAGATCAACAAGCGAAAAAGGTGTGGGAAACCAGGCATGAGCTTAACTCAGTCCCAGGGGAGCCACACGGGGCCACTCATTTCTTCCAGCTTGGAGCTGTGACAGCACACATGGGGTATCTGCCGGGGGAGCTCACCGGGGACTCAGCCCCAGGGTTCTGGCTGGTCATAGAGACCCCCGTGCACAGCACAGACCAGATGCCAGCTCCCAGGGGATAGGGATTCAGCATTAGCCACCATGTCCCCACGCACAGGCTTGGCACCGGGAGCCACTTTTATGCCTTAGGAGTGGTGAGAGCCCTCCTGAAGTCTGGGTTCCCAGGTGCAGCCGAGGGCCCACGTTGTGAGCTGGCCTTTCGGGCTTTCTCAGACTGCCCCATCCGCTCCTCTGCATGGACTCCCCACGTTGGCTGCATTTTCCTGTCCTGGAGGCCAGGGAGAAATAGGTGGCTTTCCTCTGAGAGATATTTAAGAGGGAATCTGAGACTCTCCTGAGAGGGCATGACGGTCTCTGGGCCAGAGCCACAAAGGTCAGCTTAGGGAGAGGCGGCCAGGCCACAGAGGAAGTCCATTCTGTTTGCTTAATTTGCACAGTAGCTTTTGCTGTAATTTAGGGTTCACATCAGATGCCATTCATTTTCTAGGGTCCAATGACCATTTTTAAAAAAGTAGTTTTTTTATTTAACTTCATTTATTCATTCTAATTTGATCAGAGAGGAACAGAGGAGGGGAGAGAGAGAGAGGGGGAAAGTGAGAGAGCAAGCTGCCAGGTCTGGGACTCGAACCGTGGTGGCCATGTGGGAGTCCAGCACCCTTAACCACCCTGCCATCTGCCAGCCCCCATAACCATTTTAAGTCCATGGAATAACTCTCTGTGAAGAAACTAAGACAGAAATGCCCCTTCTATCTTGAAAACGCCTTGAGTAGCGGGAGGTGGGTGTGGACGGTGACGAGGGCAGTCTGGGTGTGCGAGGAGAACCCATTTCCTCCAGCTTTCTGAGGCCACCCCAGCTTGCTTCCGAGCACTTGTCTGTGAAACAGCATGTGACAAGCTCCCAGCCCAGAGGAATGAAGGTCAAAGTCAGGGCGGGGTGGGGCGGGAAGGCTGGCTTTGGCGCTGTCCCCCTCCCCACGCCGTTTTGCCGGGAGTCCCGGGTTAGCACCTGAAGCACCTGCTGGTGGCTCACATGCTGGTGGGGGCAGCTCTGTCTTCTCTAGACTTGCAGGCTTTGGAGTTTCTTTTCTTGCTTTCTTCTTTTTTTTTTTTTTTTTGAGAGGTTTTCGCTATAGAGCGCGTGCGCTCGCCAGACAGACAGAGACAGACAGAGAGACAGAAAGCGAGAAATCACCCCCCCAGGGGGATGGTCATGCCGCAATCACTTCTCCTCCATTCTCCTCTTGGGATCTTGGGCACGCACGCACATGCGCCCAGCGTGAGTTTTAAGCCACCGGGTCCGGGACGCGAACCGTGGTCGACTACATGGGAGTCCAGCGACATAGCCATTACGCTAACTGCTGGTTCCCCTCTTTTTAAAATTTATTTATTTCTTCCTGTGAGAGAGACACGCGCAGCTCCTTGACCGGGACCTGATGCCACCCGCTATCTCCAGCCACAGCTGCCCAGATCATGGGCTCACGTGTGCCTGGTGTCCTCGGGGAGCCTTCCCTGCTGGATGGCCTTGGGCAGCTGCGCATTACTGCGGTGCTGCCGTCTGATCCCGGTTGATTTCTTATGCCCCCCCACCCCCTGCCCCATCCCGCCGGGGGTACTTGCAGGAGCAACTGAAGCTTTGGGCCTGCTGGATTCCCCTTTTTTTGGAGAGATTTTTGGTATAGGGCACATGCACTTGCCAGAAAGACAGAGACAGAAAGCGAGAAATCACTCCCTGGGTGGATGGCCATGCCGCAGTCCCTTCTCCTCCATTCTCCTCTTGGGATCTTGGGCACGCATGCTCATGTGCCCAGCATAAGTTTAAGCCACCGGGTCCGGGACGCGAACCGCGGTCAACTACGTGGGAGTCCAGCGACATAAACCATTACGCCAACTGGTTCTGGCCTGCTGGGTTCCTGATGGCTCCGTCTCTGCTCCAGTGTCAGTGGCTTTGTTTCTTCCACACAGCTGGTTTTCTTGTGAACTGTCTAGTACCGCAGGCACTCACAGGGAGGTTTGTCTGCTCAAATGCATCTAACACAGTTGATTCGGTTGTTTTGGGGTTCCCATCCCAGGGGACTGTGCAGGGCATCAACTGTCTGCTCAGCTTCCCAGGGCTGCCCTAACATAGGACCCTGAGCCGAGTGCTCAAAACATCTGACAGGGATGGCTTCTCTCAGCTCCAGGGGCCCCAACCCCAAGTCAAGGTGTCGGCCGGCCAGCTCCTTCCGAGGGCCCGAGGGAGGACCCTTCCTGCCTCCCCAGCGATCGTTGGCTGTGGCTACATCACTCCCATCTCTGTTCCTGTTGTCACCAGCCTCATTTTCCCTGTGCGCCTGTCTCTGCGTCTCTTCCTCCCACCAGGACCCATGCCAGAGTTGGGGCCCACTCTGCTGATGAGGGTGGCTGCCTCTTAACTAAGCACATCTGTGGTGCCCCCGTTTCTCAATGAGGTTGTGTTCAGAGGTCCTGGGGGTCAGCTTCGGCACCTCTTCTTGGGGGCTCGGCTCAGCCCCCCACGCTGTCTCCAGCATGTCTCTGAACTGATTCCTGTACTTGGGTCGGTTGGCCCCAGCCCCGGCCTCACTGCTCTCCCACTCCCTGGCGCCAGCACGGGAGATGCGAGGGGGGACAGGCTGGGCCCCACTGGGTGGAGCCCACTGACGCCCGGAACCCTTGCCCACAGGTGTCCATCACCTTCAAGGACCTGGCCGTGCGGTTCTCGGACGAAGAGTGGCGGCTCCTGGAGGAGGTCCAGAGGGAGTTCTACCGCGACGTGATGCGCGAGAACTACGAGACGCTGGTGTCCGTGGGTAAGGGCAGCGGTGGGGGAAGCAGCTGGGGTCCGGTCTCAACCCTCCGAGGCTTCGCCGGGCCTTGGTCCTCTCATCTGTGCGAGAAGCGCAGCTCGGTAGGTTCAGAGCCCTCCGGCCGGGCCGCCCCACCTTGTCACCCGTGTGCTGCCACTGCTGCTATGCTGTATGGCCGGCTCTGCCCAGGGGGCTTCTGACCTCGCCTCAGTTCTTTGAGTGTTCACAAGAACATGCGTGTCACATGTGCCCAGATGGGCAGGTGCCTGGGCCGCGGTGTGACAGCATGGGGTGGTGGGGGCCGTTCCCCCGGCAGCTGTCCCTCTCATCTCACAGGGACAGCTGAGCTGCTTCCTCTCTCTGCCTTCCTGTCCCCTGCGGAGCAGAGAGGAGCCGTGGGGGAAGGGAGCCGCCTGGAGGAGGACCAGGAGCCTCCTGGTGGAGGAGGCCCCCAGGGTAAGTCCCCTCTCACCAAGGTCCTCAGCCCCCAGGGTGACATGATGACCTCAGCCTGGCCAGTCTGTCCCTCCAGGTCTCACCACACACACCCACCCCATGCTGGGAGTCTGTTCCATGTCTGTTTCACAGAGATTTACTCCAGAGAAACCTGGGGTCACTCTGGAACATGTCCCTGTCTAAGGTCCCCTCCTGCCAGTGCCCTGAGCCTTGTTCCAGCCACCCCTGCAGAACCAGCCTGCAGCTCCTGAATGTCATGCCCCGAGGTGACCTCCTGAGACCTCAGAGGGCAGATGTGGCCCACAGGCAGACTGGGTGCAGCCAGGAGTATGGGGGTGCCAGGACAGGCAGGCCAGTGGTGGTGGGCAGCATGGTGACAGCCCTGCCTGCATTCCCCCCGGAAGGCCAGGAGAGGGGAGGACGGTGGGGAGGGTGTGTCCTGTCGCCGGGGACTGCCCGTGGGCAGAGCACTGGCCTGAGGTTGAGTCCTCTCCTGGCCAGCTTTGCGCATCACAGGAGTGCAGGTGCCAAGCAGCTGCCAGCGTGGGCTCACTGCTGTGTCTCCGCAGGGGCACAGCCACGGCACAGCCTTCACCTCTCAGCCCTGGTGCGGCTGGTCAGGGAGATCCCAGAGTTTTTGTTCCGGGACACTGGGGACATGGTGGACAGCCCTGACAGTGACAGTGGGGGAGCCAGCCTGGACAGGGAGCGGGCCAGCCCTAAGGGTAGGTGGACAGTCACCTGTGTTCTCCGTGGTGGGGTGTGAGGCCGCGGCACCCAGCCCGTGCCTGCCAGCTGTGCAGGTCCAGCATGTACTGGAAGGCAGGGTGCCTGTGGGCAGGGGTGGGGAGAGTGCGGCTCCGGCTTCATGGTAGGTTTCTTGGGGCTCCAGCTATCCCCCCACCCCCCTCACCAGTGCCCTGCTTGGGGGGGAGTGCAGTGGGCTGGCCCTGCTTTGCAGATGCACCTGAGAGGGAAGCCCTGCCTGGGTGGGACCCAGACTCCCTTTCCAGCCTCTTCCCAGTCCCTTCCACCTCACCTTTCTCGTCCCTGATCACTTGTTGCCCTCAGCTCCCCTCCCACCTCCCCCAGGAACCCGCCCTGCCAGCCCCTCTCAGCTGATGGGCAGTGAAACGGATGTGAGCGGGAGGCAGAAGGGTGGTTGGTGGGGTGAGGCTCTGGAGCTGGCGGCTGGTCCTCAGGTGTGAAACAACACTGGGGGGAGGTCCTTTTCCAGCCGTTGGTGCCCCCGCCCACAGCAGCCGCAGCAGTGGGGACTTGTCCTTTCCCAGGCCTGCTCAGCTGCCTCCCGGACGTCCCTGCCAGCCCGCCCAGCCTGGCCACCACGCCCACTACGCCCAGCAGCAGCTTGTGCTCCAGTGGCCCGCCCGGAGATGTGGGGCAGGGGAGCCCCCTCCCCAGCAGTGAGTCCGACCCGGTGGGACAGGGAGAACCAGCATCTTGCGACCCCAGCCCAGGAGTCCAGGGCTTGGAGCCTGTGCCCTCGGTTTCCTCTGCAGCCAAGTGGGGACACAGCTCCCAGGAGCAGGATGGCCTGCTCAGCCCAGACTGGAGAAGCCGTGTGGTGCTCAGTCCCCAACCTGTGCCAGGCCCGATCACACACAGGAAGCCTTGACACAAGCCCCAGCAGGCCCCTGGATGGGACACCTATATGCACCCGCTCGGATCTCAGAGGGCAGGGCAGCCACTAGAATCTACCCGGGCTCTCATTTCAGTTTTAAAAATTCTTGCAAATTTTGCCAGGGCCAGCAGGTGACATGGTGGTTAAGGTACTGGTTGAACCATGGCTGACCATGGTTCAAATCCTGTACCTGGCAGCTTGAAAATCACACCGGCCGTGTGAGTGTGTGCCCAAAATCCAGGAGGAGAATGGAGGAGAAGGCATTGCGGGGTGGCCATCCCTCTCCCCCCGGGGATGATTTCTCACTTTCCCTCTTAGTGTCTATTTCTCTCCAGCAAGCACGTGCTCCCTATGGCAAAAACCTTAAAAACGAAACAAAAACAACTTGCGAATTTCACTTGTCCGAATACCTGTCTTGAATACTTTGGAATTTAGTGTGGAGCAATCTGACTTCCCGGCAGCACACGCCGCTTAGCTTGTGGCTTCAGGTGTCGGGCTGCGTGCCGGATTCGGGCCGTGCGAGTGTAGGGCCGAGGCTGCTGGTGTCCTCTGCTGTGCCAGACTCGGAGGCCAGGGCTGAGGGGAGGGCCCACGGTGTGCACTCATCCCGAGGAGTCCTAATTTATGCCTAGCCTGAGGGAAGCAGGGAACCCCCTTGTCCTGGAGCAAAGCCTGAAGCTGGCTGTCCACAAGTCCAAGTTCAGGGACTGACCTGGGTAAGCTGGAGTCCAGAGCCGGGGTACAAAGGCTTTCCTTGTCCTCTCCTGCGACAGGAGCTGCCGACATGCCATGGCTGACAGGGAAGGGAGGCGTGGGAGCCCCAGCTGGGGAGCCCAGCTCTCCCCCCAGCAGCCCTGGCAGGAGGAAGAGCCCCAGAAGACAAGAGAGGGAGACCATGGGGGCAGGTGAGAGGCTGCGGGGGGCCTCCCTGGAGCTGCGTGGGACGCGAGGAGAGCTGTTTAGCTTATACACGGAGGTCACGTCACTCTCCCCCCGGGGCCCACGACAGCCCTCCAGCAGCCCTCCCTGCTCCTGTGGGTGGCCATCTCTGGCAGGCCTTTGGCAGAGCCGGCGGCTGCCCACCGGGCCACGCTGACCCGGGTCCTTGGCTGTGCTGCAGGCGTCTCTCCTGGGAACAGCCCCTTGCAAAGCCTCATCAACTGTCTGGAAGAGCTCCTGGTACCGGGGCCACCGCGCCTGCGGGCCTCGCCGAGCTCGCTGCCTGTTCTCCCTGGCCTGGGCGCGCCGCCGCTGAGCAGAGTGGAGCTGGGGCCTGGGTACACGCCCCGGGAAGGTGAGGCCCTGGGCCCAGGTTTCCCAGGCTGAGGGCACTGGTGCCCAGGAGGGCTCGAAGTGCCTTCTTAGAGCGACTTCTCTTAGGGCAAAAATGCCTCTAAGGACGGTGACCAACCTGCTGCTCCCTGTCCCCAGCGTCATGTTTCTGAAGCCAGGTGGCCTCAAGGACAGCCTGTGGGTGACAGAAAGGACAGCCCGGAGCAGATGGCCCTGGCTCCCTCATGCCCTCTGCCCCTCCACCTGCGGGGCAGTGAGGAGGGCCTCAGGGTCGAGTGTCACGTGGTGGGTGGTGGGGCCTCCAGCAGGTATGGCTGGGGCACTGGCCTCATCTGGAGAGGGATGGCTGTTCTCGGGTTGGCACGGCTGGAACCTGTGGGGGCGTATCATGCGAGGGGGACGTGAAGGTGGGCTCCTCCTCGGCCCTTGTTCCACTCAGGACCCTGGGAACTGTGTAGAGTCACAGCCCCCTTTCCTCCAGTGTCAGCTCAGGGAGATTACACGTGTTGGGTTCTGGGTGCCCTTCCTGCCCTCCTGCCCGTGACTGCTGGTTCTAGGAGGTTTGCAGATGGGCACTGGAGGCAGCGGCTCACCGGGACCAGCCGAAGTTTCAGGTCCCCGGCAC